CACTCTATCATATCACTCTCCTTTCATTAACAGATTAATTCATAGAGGCGTACTCAGGAAAAGGACAGAAGACTGACTAACATCAAAAGAATGGAAAATATCCGAAACATAATCGATCAAATTATCTATAAAAAAGAGTATGTTGACCAAGATGCAAAAATCAAATTTATTGCAAAATATAAGAATGATAAAAAAATTTCCAAACTTGTAAAAAGAGTGGAACAGCGTACAGAGGAAGCAATCAGGAATATGCCAACGCATATCACCATGATGGCTTTAGAAGCAGCTAAGTTATATAAAAGAAAAAACAACAATCATTACGAAGTTTTTTAAACAAGTGATGAGTACAATAAACCATGCATCTTTTAGATTGTACCGTACATGTATTAGGATGCTTATTAGAATAAAGAAAATTAGCCACTAGACAATATTGTATCGAAATATTAATAAAGGTTATGCACATTTGATTATAAGTTTAGTAGAGAGTATGTAGTCTATTATATCTAGCTTAAAAATCTGAACTATCATGAAAATCAAAGAAAACACGCCTTTTTTCCTTAAGGTTAAGTATCTGAGTACTAGCTAGGGCATGTTCATGTGCGACAAAGCGCTTTTTAGTTCTGATGTTTTTCTAGCTTACACGACGAGAGAGATTCTGGTATATTCTGCTATACCTGGATCGCATATTGTACAACAGGTCTAACAATAGAAAAATATACCTTAACAATAGAGCTTGCTGATAGACCTGCTTTCTTTTTCACTCAAAGTTTGTGCTGTGCTGTGCTGTGCTGTGCTGTGCTGTGCTGTGCTGTGTTGTGTTGTGTTGTGTTTGTTGGTTTGTTTGTTTGTTTGTTTTTTTCCCTTTTGCTTTCTTAAGAACATGCTTAATATGATGGATCCACTTAAGATCACTACTACAACAAGTGGCTTATACAGCGTTTTCACATTATGTCACAGCCGCCATAATAGTATACCTTTGACAATAACTTAACAATAATAAGACACCGATAGGGACTAGGAAGTCAAAACGCTCTATAAGTACGAACGCTTTCTTAAGGTTGTTGCCACCTAGTAAAAGTCTAACAAGAAAATTAAAATTATGATTGCTACTATGATTTTCCTTAATGTCCGGTTGCACAGAAGGATTTCGTCATGATGGATAAGAGTTTTACATTATACTAAATACCCTGTGCTATTCCTCCCTTGGGTGTTTGTCATCTTAAATGGTCATCAGGCACACGAAGGCACACGAAGGTTTATGTTCATGTTAGACGCCATGATGTATTTAATATTGTAACGCAAATTAGCAATGTGGTCTTCCAGGAGTCAAACATTGGAAAAAATTGACCATTTTTAAAAGATCAAACTCAAGTATTTCACTGATTTATCCGGAAATTATCAACTCATTTTCCCAAGGCGAAGTGAATATCGGGGACCTAGTAAAAAACACTTTTGTGACCTATGCTTTCTCTTTAAAGAATATTTACCGACATGCGAGTYTTCGAGCGGCGAGGTAAATATTCCCCAAYATTCAATAATYCTGAGGCGAATAACTGTTTCAATATTCTTAACACAAGTGAGCGGTTTGAAAAAATAACGAAGGGAGAGTCTTTCTTTTCAAATTCTATATATCCCTCCATGCGTTACAATTCGAAAAACGAGCGTGCGCGTGCGTAAATTGTGACCAATGAACGCGCCGGATTTGATGTATTCAATTGTGTAAAAAAAAAATAATAAAACCTGTTGTTGCATTGTTTCCGCATATTAACTTTCTTAAGACTGCGGGTGATATTTAACCAAATACTATCCACTGAGACATATATAGCAACTAAGGTCTTGGGAAGCTTTTATTTGGCTAAAATTACTTTCAGGCGACAGTTGGAAAAGAGGGGAAAAAGGTCGAGTTTGGTAGGTTGTGTCAAGTACAGAACATTATACAATATTTTAATCAAACTGCTGTACAAAATTGTCGTTACTGTATAATATTCAATACTATCAGGTAGCATAGGAAAATATTTATATCTATAGCCGACGATATTTGCTAATTTCAAAAAATATCATGGTAGATTTTTATGTGCAAATCAAACGCCAAAGCTTTTGTGTTAAATCTAAATCTTAAATACGAGCTCATGGCTTGTGAAGTTACCACTAATCACCTTATATTACTTCTYTTGGATGAAAAACAAATAAGCTAGGTTTTTTGAACAAAGCTGTAGCGAATTCTCAACGCGCCAAAATCACAATTTTAGTAAGAATGCAGTGGTTAATAATTACAGCATATTATTAGAATAATATACGTTAAAAGAAAAAAAATCCTTTGTTCTTTTAAATATTGGTCATTGCTGATTCAAGTAAGTAAGGTTAAAGGTTTTTCTTCTTTTCTTTAAACAATGGAATTTAATAAAAATGGAATAATCTTGTTTTAAATTTTTGTTGAAAATTGCTAAATAATTGTCTGAAGAGAGCTTTCAAAGCACCCAGGAAGGAGGTTTTGCTTCAGGTTTGTTATTGTTCTGATAAGGTTCTCTATTGTTCTCGTTGCACCAGGTTCTATTTGTTGTTTTGGCGAGTGCGACAGGTTGGACAATTCGAAAATTTATCCAATCCCGTTTGCTTGGCCTTTAGAAATGTTGATGATTTGTAAATAACTTTTGTAACCAAAATGTTTTATATTAATGCCAAAATAGTATAGCTAATGCGTATAGAGACCTACTTCAGGATTATCTCTCATTTTACAACGTGTAGATATGGATTATTACGACATTCAAGGAAGCTGCAAATATTCCAATTTAAATCAAATGAGCATCGGCGTGTTATATTTCTTGGTAATAATTATTTTGATAGTATGGAAGTCCTGTGAATTCTCAGATTTTTGCTGCACGATTGACAATGACGTAAACATGTGAACTGAATATAGCTATTTCTATCAAGATTTATGAAGGTTTGCTTGCATGTTGCTTGCCACTTACCAACCTTCAAATGTATTATTCTCAAATGCAAATAACATAAGATCGCTAGAACATATGCCGAAATAACGTGCGGATAAATTTTAGGTAAATTCCATATTGTTGGGACCTTTCGCTGGTTTTCGGGCTTAGTTGCAACATGCAGCAAAACCTTCACCGACCTTTTTTGAAATAGCTGAATATTTAACGAATCAGTGACATGAATCAGTTTTTTCTAGTGTATTATCCGTCCTCTTTATTGATGCTATTTTGATGCTATAATGACGAATCATTAAGAGGACAGACGTAGAAAAGTTATGTATTTCTTTTTTATACAATAGCAAAAACGCTCATCGTTGATCAAAACAAACAACGGAATGAGCGCGCACTCGTGGACGACCGCTTATCTGTCTTTCCTCTTAACTTTTGCAATTGCAATTGATGATATAAAATAGCCAATCAGCGCGCGAGAAATGCGTAAGTTATTGAAAAAAATGTTATATAATGGATTAGAGTTTTGCTGCTTCTACAAGGATGCTCTTTTAATTTTACCTGGCTGAATTCAATTTATAATGGAATCTGTAAGCTAATCAAGACTCTTTTGATTCTGCAGAATATAAACATGAACACTCAGGCACTTGTATCTATACTTTTGGTGTTTTTTGTGCTCATTGAGGAAGGTCGGGTTCATGGTGGAGAGGACCGCGTTTACGGCAGAGAACAACCTGCTCACGACGTTGAAGCTAAAGCACATAGAAGAATGGTCTTCAAAAAGGGCGATCATTTATTTAACAACATCGCAAAAGCCTTCACAAAAATGATCCGAGACATATTCACCGAAACGAAGATTCATAGGTTCTGCACAACCCGTGCAGGAGTTCAGTTCATTGTTGAAGATACTACTGATAAAAACAAAGATGTAACTAATCTATTCCCAGTTATGGCGGACTCCTTCCGGGAATACGCGACTGACAAACTACTTACAACGGATCGTGACAGTCTGTCTGTTTATGGACAAGAACACAATGGACCCGATGAAAATGCTATTAAATGGAGTGCAAACATCAAGGACGTCAGAAGAAATGTCTTTGCTTTAATTGGTAAGTAAAATATAACCTCATTATTCTTTGGAATTTGGCCTAGGACTATCGTGATTATGTTCAATTACGCACAGTAAATTTGAGAGGACCAGTTTGGCCCCAGAAAGCCATTTTTGCTTTTTCAAAGTAGTGCTATTTTAGCCCAGGCTAGGGCCAAAATAGAACAATGCCATTTTGGCCCCACAGAAGCCATTTTGGTATGGGTCTATCAGTACTGTTTTGCCCCCCTCAACTATAGGCCAAATTAGGGGGGAAATCCATATAAGGGGCTAAAACAGTCCCAAAATCAGAGCTTAAAAAATGGCCCCTACCGGTAGTGCCAAAATAGCCCTACTTTAAGGAGGCCACTATAGGGTCCACATTTTGGCCCCATTTTTGAGGCCAAAACCGCCCTATCCGATTTACTGTGCATTAACAACCAACTAGGCTAGGCCTATTGAGATAATTTTGAAAATTGGAAACGGAGATCGCTAATTTAGCTGGTGTGGCTAACTGATTACAAATACGAGAAATGGTATGTGAAAAGGAATTATGTAAAAGCTGACTATTATAAGAATTCTGTACTACGTTATGTCTGCTGCTGCCTCTTAGATCATGAGGCGTTGCGCGAGCTTTCAAAAAGTTCTTCTGTGTTGAACATGATTTACATATGAAATATCCAGGCGAACTCGCGCACGCCTTTCAGGTTACTATTAACCAATCAGAAGCATTTTTGTTGCATCGTCAAAAGTTCCATGATGAATTTCAAAATGGAGTCGTATTTCGAATTAACTTTTTTTAAATACTTCCTGGAATATAACTTTACGTTGAAAAACGTTATGTTACATGTACCAGAAGAGCTTCCTCTTGCCCTATCAGCAATTGAAATTAATAAAACAAACCATAAATGCAACAAAAGTAAGTGAAATCGGTGTTGTCTTAATTATTCACCAGCCGCCATTTTGATTATTAGTATTTTAATAGTTCTTAAAAGAACTGTGCGATTTGACAAATAATCCTTTGCGCACTTCGAGGCGAGATCACCTGGATTATGTATTTCGAGCTTAGCAAGCAGCAAGCAACATACAACAAAACCTTTATGCCAACACTTATGGATTGTTGATTGTATGTTGTCATGTCTTTTTTAATGACTCTGTTTCATTTTTAACAGACAACTTCGTTCAGGTTGGAATAGAAGGTCAGCCACGGCCAAGAGAATCACTGGCGCTCATAAATAACCTCCAAAAAAGAATTGATGAAATCATCAATAAACAGGAATATGTCGACAAAGATGCGATGAAAATTTTTATAAAGAAACAACAGAACATGCCGTTGGTCCTTCAAGTAGAAAAGCGTTCTGAGGCTGTACTGAGAGATCTACCAGGCAAGGCCAACCGATGGGCTGTGGAAGCGAAAAATTTCATTATAAAGAAGTTCAGTGGTAAGAAGTAGCTTTCAAGAGCTGAGCAAAATAATCCAAAGCAGATACATGTTTGTTTTGAGTTGAATAATATTTATGATTGTGAATACGCAATTGTATTGCACGTAGGAATGAAAACAATGATAACAAACAGTGGCGGATCCAGGGGGGTCGAAGGGGTCCACGGAACCCCCCTTGAAGGTTTGATCTTTTAGGTAGTAGAAATATGTCTTATATAAATTTTAATAAAAAAATATTAGCAGTTTTGCGTTGGGTCGTGTTAATATAGCTTGGTCCGTTACTAGATAGTAAATTAGGTGATTAAAGCCAATGATGAAGACTGGTTAAGTTATCGTACTGCCAGAAACCGCGTTACTATGAAAATCAAGAAAGCAAAAAATACGTACAACAGGAAACTCGTGGAAGATAACAGTAATGATCCGAAAGCCTTCTGGAAGACGATAAAGAAGATTCTCCCGGGTAAAGGAAAAGTCAAGGTTTCAAGTATCAATATCGCTGGTGAGAATTGTGCTGACAGCAAGAAGATAGCAAACGCCTTCAATAAGTTTTTCACAGGCTCAGTTGAACGTCTTAGGAAGGCATTTGGAATTTGTGAAGCCACCGTTACTTCTGCTCTAAGTAAGTTGGTTAAAGATCGAAACACAGGGACGCCGCCCTTTAAATTTGAGGCTGTCTCACAGGAATTTATTCTAACTAATCTCAAGAAGTTGAAGACAAAAAAGTCAAGTGGATTGGACAACATATCCCCGCGGCTTCTGGTTGACTCAGCCGAGATTGTTGCTAAACCACTTACCAAGATCATCAATGCATCTCTTACTTCTGGGCTCATTCCTGATGAGTGGAAATGTGCTAAGGTAACACCTCTTTTTAAAAAAGGGAAAAGAAATGAAATGGATAACTATCGTCCCATTTCAGTGCTGCCTGTAGCTTCAAAGCTTTTAGAGAAGGCTGTTCATTTTCAGCTATATCACTTTCTCAGCAAGCACCAACTACTAAGCCCATACCAATGTGGCTTTCGGAAACATCACTCTGCCGAATCAGCTGCAATATCTTTTACAGATTCAATTAGGCGGGGCATGGACCAGGGACTCTTAACTGGGGCTGTTTTTATCGATTTACGAAAGGCGTTCGATACAGTGGACCACGCAACCCTAGCAACGAAGCTGGAAACCTTTGGTATTGCTGATATTGAACTTAAGTGGTTCCTGGAGTACTTGAGTAATCGCAAGCAAGTTGTTGCTGTGGAAGATGAACTGTCTGATCTGTGTGGTATATCTTCTGGAGTTCCTCGAGGTTCCATTCTTGGACCTTTACTGTTTGTACTTTTGATGAATGATTCATCTGCTCGTCTGAATCTATGCAGTTTGCTGATGTATGCGGATGATACCGTGTTATTCTATTCAAGCAAGGATGTGCATGAAATTGAAACAGTCCTAACTAAAGAACTTGCATTGGTGAGCTCCTGGCTGATAAATAACAGTCTATTTCTTCACAAAGATAAGACTGAGAGTGTTCTGTTTGGTACCGGAGCCAGGCTGTCTAATGTAACCAGCTTTGATGTGTCAATAAATGACCATCTTATCAAGCGTAAATCACAGTACACCTATCTTGGTGTTGTCTTGGACGAGACATTGTCTTTTAATGAACATGTTAAATATGTGTTAAGTAAGGCA